ACAATGGCTGCCCTCCTTCCTCCACTCTGACGCCTGGCTTACATTGTCCAGATTTCAGAACGTGATAGAAGGGTCACATTTACTCTACTTTAATATTGATAATTAAGTTAATTTATATAAGATGTTTTTATGATGGTAAAGTCCAAAGACTAATGTATTTAAGAATAATTCCCAGCAGAATAGCTGGTGAATTATAATAGTATGTGGTGATGATATCCCGTTTTCTATAGACGGTAATTCCACTACAAGTTACGTTTTCTATGGGTAACTTGTTTATACAACACAGCTCTTATCTGTCTGTATGATATTATATGGTGTCGGATTTTCCGACATAATTCCCCAGGGGGCTGCTCACGGGTCGAAGTCCTATTTAGAACAGACGAACACCGATACTCCTCCTTCGAATTATTAGATTAATTTGATGTTAGTAGTTAGTAAGCACACATTTGTGCGTCTGTTCGTACAGGACGGATGTCCCGTACTAGAGTTGTAGGGGTTAGAAGTCTAATGCGATTTCATTTCCCCGTCAACTCTTGAAAGGCTAATATTCAAGCCTTATTACATATTATTTAACCCAGAAGACTGAATGTGATCAAGTACTACAGTCAAGTATGATTCAGGGACTGCAGTGAGATCAGTGACATAGATATAACTTGAAGTTTGTTCAAGTAACTGGTCACTGATATATAAACACTGAGGCCCATGGAATACATCTTGATTAAATAATAAATGTATCAAATCAGTCATCAGATTTATTGGGGTTTAATTTAATTAATTGATTCAGAAGATTGAATAGCTCATCATTAAAGTAAAGTATGGTTCTGAGACTGCAGTGGGTTCAGTGACATTGGTCGCAGTGACTTGTAGCTGTTTTAGGCTACTGTTCACTGATTTGCCACTGAGGCCTCATGAACTCATCTTCAGCTTTAAATGATGATACTAACATCAACCTCTGTTACTATAGTCAGCTGTCATCTCCTTAGTATAATGCTACTGGAGAAATATAATCAGCTGACAAATTTAGATTCTATTGGTATTGTTTATCTGCAGGCATAGGTCTCCTCAGGCTTGATACTGGGCCTGAGAGTAATTTACCTCCTGCAGAGTTTAACATGGTTATACCCTGATATTTAGTAGGGCTACCGATGAATCGATGGCAATAGTCTGTCCCTACAAGGAGACCGAAGTCGGTGAGGTGATCAGACTTAATATTATCTGCCAATTTTATTCCTCTATTTCTCAGGAATTTGGCTGTTGCTCTCAGACCTTGAACTTGTAGGTCTACTGGTATTTTGTCCACCACAATGGCTTGTACTCGACAGACGTACCTGCCTAAGCGTACTGATGGTTGTACCACCTGGTAGACTTGAGGTCCTGCATCTGTTACAAACCCTGAGATGTTGAATGACATCTGGGCTACAGGCCTTAATTGTAATTCATCTGCCAACCTTTTAGTGATGTATGTTCTCTGGGATCCTTGGTCAAACAACCCTCGGGTATGGACCTTGGCCCTCTTATTCAGGATGGTAATTTGGGCAGTAGGCAAAGTCGTATTACCTTTAGACTTTGCCGATTGGACACTCTTTGTTGGTTGCACCTTGCAGTACTGTACTGTGGTGGGAATGCTATCTTCCACCTTGGGGTTTGGAGACGTTGTTTTGGTGTCTCTGCACAATGCTGCATGGTGCTGACCTTTGTTACACCTATTACAGGTGTGTAATTGGGTCTCACAGTCGTTGATGTTATGTTTCCTGAGGCACCTCGTGCAATGTTGCAAATCTTTGAGTCGCTCAACACGGGCGTCACTATCAGGAAAATTAGGGCAGTGGTACATTGAATGTTTTTTATTGCAGAACAAACATGTTCCATAGTTTCCAGTACCCTTTGGTGTCACGTTCTTGGGTGACACAGTAACTATAGGCTTGGAGGGTCCCACTGCATATACGCCCACACTGCCACTGTTCCACTTTGGTGTTAAATTATATTGTCTAGATTGATTTGGAGTACCTTTGGTACTCTGTGGTTTACTATTATTGGTTTCTGAGGGTTTACTTGGTGGTTTTAATTTGTCATGTGTTCGTAATTGATGAACTACTGACTTTAAACCTTCAGATATTTCATTCATGGATAAGATACTTTTATTGTAATGAGCACTCATTTGTCTCAATATGTCCCTAGGTATTTTCTCCTGGACAATTATTTTCAAGACCCACTCAGCCCCGTTTGTATCTGCTGTCAGGCTGAGGGCATTGATCAGTGATTCTACCTCCAGCTTGAAGACTTGGAGTGAATCAGCTGAAGCCTCCGGTGGGGGTAAATGCAACAGCTCATGAACTAAATGTGATGTTCTTACTTCTGGATCAGCATAATTATCCTTGAGGAGTTTTACTGCCAGATCATAGCCGTCATTAGTTAATCTCAGATGGGATACTACTGTTTTAGCCTCACCTGATAATTGGCCTTGCAAATAAGAGAATTTACTACTCTTTGGTAAAGATTGTTTTGAGTCTACAAGGTCAACGAATTTGTTCCAAAATTCGTCCCAATCTTCCTCATCTTTTCCTGAGAAAGTGGGTAAATTAATTGGAGGGAGTCGAGCTTCTGCTTGACTCGTATTAGATGCAACTGTTGTTGTTGTTGCTGTTGCCTTGTTCTGGGCAATTAATTTGACATAAGGCTGTAACGTGGCCTGAGTGTGATCTTCATAATTCGCAAGATCAACCATAATGTCGTCTATTTCTGTTTCTGATAAATTAGTGTTGGCAAGTTCAGCCACATATGTTGCTATTTGACATTTGATTTGCTCAAATTTACCTGCAGCTGCTTGATAATAGCTTTCCAGGTCAGCATAATCAACTTGAGATTGTTGTGACAAATCTTCACATTTCTTGATCTGTCTTGTTAAGTGGCCTTTAAGACCTGCAAGGGTTCTTTTCATTCTCCCTGCATTATCCATACTGGCTCGTTGGTGAAGCCTTGTGGGACTTGTACTTGGGCTGCTCATAATACTGAACAAACACTAATGGTAGCCTAGGGTAAATTCTGAACTCACTAGGCAATAATCCTACCTCTACTAGAGGTTAGCACTTAAAATTAATACACATTATATATATATACAATCATCCACACTAATGATTTGAGTGATAAACCAGTGTCACTGGAAGTACCTTTAGGTTAGCTCTTCTATATCACCCTAGGATGGTAGAGACACTAATTAATCACTCAAAGGTGTAATGATCATAAGTAAATTATTATATATACAACTCAACTCGAGTTGATAAAAATTACACCCAAAATAGGGTCTGGACCATTCATTAATGGTGTTAGGTTGTTCAATATAGTACAACTGACTATGGTAATAATGGGACTAGAATGAGCAATAATAGTTCAACTAGTCAATGGTTAATATCCTACCCTGTTGTGGGTTGGCAATTAGTAAATATTATACTGTGATCACTAGTGCAATATATATTAAATAATTCTCTATTTGGAGAAATAATATACACAATTATTGATAATAGCCTCTTAATTAGCCTCTATGAAACTTCTAATATTATCTAGAAGTATTAAGTATTATTAGTGACCTCGCGAAATAAAGTCCACAAAATTCGTAGATAATCTCTCGCGAAATGTAACACCACGAAATCCGTGAACAATCTCGCGAAGACACAGTCACTAATTTGGCTGGATTCTATATTAGCGCTGTCATTTCACGAAATAACACGCCACCAAATATCTGTGGGTGTGCATGAAACCGCTGACTAAGGCTGAACTGGGCTGAGGGAGGCTCCTGAGCTCCCACGAGGCAACGCCGCTGTCTATGACTGGCTGGCTTTGTTTAAATAACACTGCACTAGTATTTAATGAATCCACTGGATAACTGGTTCATCCGGTACTAAGATGACCAAATGTGGGTTCAAGGGATCAAATAATCCGTCATCCGGTTCGAAGATGACCAATTAATGTGGGAACCGACCTGTGAGATTTATATTTATTTAATTTATATGAATTTATATTTACGTTAATTTGTATACTTCGATAGCAATTTGTATAATGATAAGTGGACTGTATTTCTGCAATAATCTCATAATCTCACAAATCGATCCTCTACACATTAGGGGGGGTTATTAAATTAATATATATATGCAGCCAATCAAATTACAGTAATAGCTACATACATTGATGAGGTTCCTTCTCTTATAGTACAGCAGGTTAGTCCACCAGGTATAACTAGAGTGTAGACACCAAATTATCCTCTTTGAGGTAGCTTCTATCACCCAGTAACTGGTGCACATAATCTTGCATCCTCGTCTTGACCTGTCAAAAGTGCGCTAGCTGTGAAGCCAGAAACCTATATATGACAAGTATTTCAGAGAAAACTGTATACAGTACATGGAACATGAAAGACCTGGCTTAATTACCTTTAGTTTGAGGCGATTTCGCGTTCTAACCGGCTAACCCTATATCCTGACATTAATGGCCATAAATGAATGATAAACGGGTTTCGGATAGACACTTAACTTGTATTTGTAGACAGCGTGCTGACAATGGTACAACTTTGGGTTCCATAACACTACGTCCAAGTAAATTTAACAGGAGCCGAATTTGCTCCCGTGTGAGCCTCTGGTCTCAATAAACAATGGCTGCCCTCCTTCCTCCACTCTGACGCCTGGCTTACATTGTCCAGATTTCAGAACGTGATAGAAGGGTCACATTTACTCTACTTTAATATTGATAATTAAGTTAATTTATATAAGATGTTTTTATGATGGTAAAGTCCAAAGACTAATGTATTTAAGAATAATTCCCAGCAGAATAGCTGGTGAATTATAATAGTATGTGGTGATGATATCCCGTTTTCTATAGACGGTAATTCCACTACAAGTTACGTTTTCTATGGGTAACTTGTTTATACAACACAGCTCTTATCTGTCTGTATGATATTATATGGTGTCGGATTTTCCGACAGATTTACTTAGTGATTTGATCTTGTTATGCAGGAGATGGAAGGGACGGAGGAACCAACGATGGCAGGGCCCGAGGCGCCAGAGGTAAAGTTCACGCCCGTCGACTACACACTCTTCATCCTCATGCTGGTGGCGTCTATGGGCATCGGGGTCGTCAGCGCCTTCAGGAGCCGCGGGAAAGCCTCCACGCAGGAGTACCTGTTGGGGAGCAGGACCATGTCGCCCGTGCCAGTAGCGCTCTCTCTCATCGGGGGATGGATATCTGCGATATCTATCTTAGGTTAGTTAGTTATAGGATCATCTCTTTCATTCCCCCATTTTGCCCATGATTAACATAGAAGTAGAACTCCTATATCACAGCCAGAGTATATGTAGATAATGTGTCCCCGTGGCGCAGTGGTAAAACACTCCCGACGTTTCACGAGCGCTTGGGTCTAGGTTCGTACCCTGGCCAAAGAGGATTGACTGGGCGCCAATCCTTAACTGTAGCCTCTGTTCACCCAGCAGTGAATGGGTACCTGGTTGTTAAACGATTTGGCGGGTTGTATTTCGGGGGGGGGGTGGAATTAGGATTAAGGACTTGCCCGAAACCCTAAGAACTTTCAAATCCCCTGATGAAACGAAAGCTATTTTCCACGAGCTCAACTTGATACTCAGCGTCAAGCATAATTAGTGTCATTAACCAGGTTTTACTCATGCAGTCCTGAGTGTATAATTTGCAATGTGCTAATTTGTATAAATATAATTTGTATAATTTGTCCGTGCTTGTTACATCCAGGTCTTCACTCTGACCGTGATCGCTGCACTCTGAGCAACGGTTTAGAATGAGCATTGCTAAATAGTCTTCCCGGCTTGGCGCCTTCTTTTCACATAATTATTTACTTAATTGAGCATGTTACTGTATGCCACGCAGTGTGACTGACGGCAACTAACAGCAACACCTCCCGCAGGTAACCCCACTGAGATATATTATTTCGGCACTCAACTCACAACGGTCCTGCTAGGCTGCATCCCGGGTGTTTTCGTCGTGGGACTGGTGATGCTCCCCATTTTCTACGAGCTTAAACTCGTCTCCATCAACGAGGTTTGTATCTATCCATAACATATTCTAGGAAATGTATATGTTTATCTCTCAGAATGTTCGGTAATACGTTTATTGCTTGTGATGTGTGTCTATGTATGTATTAACACGATGTACTGAACGGGATGAGAATAGCTTGAGCTACCTCATCACTTTGTATGTATTTTACCTCAATAAACTTATTTCAATTTCAATTTCAATAACATATTCTTGTATCCATGTTCTTTGTTCCTCTATTGAAAATATGAAATTTTAGCTTTTTTGTCTTTCCTTTAGGTAACTGACTACTTCTGATAATAATGTAATGTTTGTATGGTTATGTAACATAATTGTTGTCATTTCTTTCAGTATATACAGCGTAGGTACAACTCACGCTTGCTTCGGACTCTGGCAACACTGTGTATGGTGTCAAGTAACTTTATCTACATGGGCATGTGCCTATATGCTCCTACAGTAGCCCTGACTACAGTCACAGGACTTTCTACATGGGCGTCAATGCTCATCTTAGGGTCTATTTGCACTTTCTACATCACAATCGTGAGTAGTTTTGACCTGGTGAAATATTACGTGTTGTTTTTTTACTAGAAAAAGTTTTCGTGATATTTAGCTCTAATAAAACACATTCATATAAGAAATCACCTGAAGTTTGTTACTTATGGCGAGATATTAAAGATAACTTGCAATAACAAATGTATTTTTACTTGAGATGCATTATTGAGATAGATTTACCATTAAAGAGCAGTCAGTTACCTTCATCTGTGAGATTGTGCTGATGTGAGTTATGTAAATCCTCACGAGGAATATGTCTGATATGCAGGCGATGAGACACAATAACGTGGCTGAGGTATGTTGACCAGACCACACACTAGAAGGTGAAGGGACGACGACGTTTCGGTCCGTCCCGGACCATTCTCAAGTCAATATATCTGATAAATGAGAGGAATTCAATATGAGTTCTCATGCTACAAATCCTGACAGTATTGCTCTAAGTGAAATATGGCTAAATGCAATCCCAAAACACCTGACAGCAAACGTTTGCATTTATTGGTATGATATATGGACTTGGATATCCCAAAACAATTTTATGGCCCTTAACAAATTAAAAGGGGGCAAACTTTTGTGAGATGCGGCGAGCAATGCAAATGAAGGTGGTAAATCATTCACAAACAATAGAATGTCTTTGAAGGGTCAGAAGCAAAACATTACATATGATTTATAAGCAATCTACTAAAGGGTGAATTGAAGGTAAATATATACAAATCAATAGGACTAGATGCACAGTCCTCCATAATCTTACTTCCAGAGGAAACAATGGGTTGTCAGTATGATAATATGCAACACGCCCCTAAAAAAAAGGAGGCAAGGAGCCTAATGGCTACAAACTAACAAATGTCGAGCCAATGCCCGTCCTCCTAACCTCCCTGAGGTTTCCCTCTGGGAGCTAAGTGTAAAAGCCGGTGTGTGTACCCTGGTGTCCTAAAGACGCTGCTAATGTTACAAACTTTATCCCCCAAGGGAGGTGTAAAAGCCGGTGTGTGTACCCTGGTGTCCTACAGACACTGCTAATGTTATAACTTTATCCCCCCAGGGAGGTGTAAAAGCCGGTGTGTGTACCCTGGTGTCCTACAGACGCTGCTAATGTTACAAACTTTATCCCCCCAGGGAGGTGTAAAAGCCGGTGTGTGTACCCTGGTGTCCTACAGACACTGCTAATGTTATAACTTTATCCCCCCAGGGAGGTGTAAAAGCCGTGGTGTACACAGATGTACTGCAGACTCTGCTGATGTTTGGTGGGGTGTTGGTGGTGGTGATCATCTGTTGTGTTGACCTGGGTGGCGTTGGCAACGTGTGGACCATCGCTGAGCAGGGCGGCCGGGTCAGGTTCTTCGAGTAAGGTCTACATAATTCCAATTGTTTTTCCCACATAACTTCCGATAATGTATTAATTTGTATGTAAAGAGGGAAGGGAACTATCAGGAGAAAGCGCCAAGCCATTACGATTACATAGCACTTGGAGGGAATCAGGATAAGGATTAGAGATAGGACGGAGGCAAGGAATGGTGCCCAACCACTTATAGACGGTCTGGGATTGAAGGCCGACCTGCATGACACGAGACCGTTGCTCTACCGTCTAGCCCAAGTGGTTAGGAGGTATGGATAAATAATTTATGTACATATGGAAGAAAGTGCTTGATGGAATGAACAAATGTTGCGCAAACATCAGTGAGAAAAAGTACAATTTAGGACAATGAAACAGTGAAAGCATTTATTGGTAACAAAATGAAGTTAAGTGATAAGTGGTAGTATGTATGACTATGCACAAATGCACTATATTGGTCAGCACGAACAATATATATCAATAATTAAAGCAGTGTAAGTAGGCAACCAGTGTAGAAAATGTCATTGACATTGACGCGAAATTTCCTAAGAATAAGTTTACAGAGATATTTTGTAAAGGACAAAATATTCGACTGAATGTATGTGGAAAAGCAAAGCCAAGCGAAGGATTGCATGTGAACAGCGCCCGATAACTGCTTGGTAACCGGACTGGCATGATGAGTGTAGTGTAGTGTAGTGACTGGCATGATGAGTGTAGTGTAGTGTATGTGAGAGGAAGCGAGGAGTGTGAACTACTCACAATGACTTGTACGGAACGTGACTGGTTGGCAGAAGTATGAGAAGAGTGAATGTGTGTGTGTTATGTTTACATATTACAACTGTGATGAAGAGTATTATACACTAAGTCTCTTAAGAGGTCGGATTATCTTCCAAGTATAGTGGACGATATAGTCAATACATGGCTGGAGTTTTTTGTTATATTTGTATCCAACTTTTTTTCTATACTGCTGCCCCAATCAGGGCAGATACCCCCAACACCCCTACCCCTTTCCCCACCCTCACTGCCCCTGACAATGGGAAATGCGATGATATGGCAACACTCACTGAGTTAGAGAAATTGCAATAAACTTTCAGAGTTTGTGTAATAAATTCAGAAATATAACTTCTACCTCATTTAGCTAACATTGAATGATGTGTTGGAGAAAGGTGAAGGATAATGAATAAAGGCAGAGAATAACTAATTTGCTGAAGAATATGATTCTTCAAAATTTCTTTTTAATCTGAATGTGAAATCCTTTGTTGTTGTCCAGCCTCAACCCGAGCCCCTACGAGCGTCACACCTTCTGGACCACTATGGTGTACGGATTCTTCATCATGGTCAACGGAATTGGCGTCACTCAGATCACTTATCAGAGATTTGCTTCCGTCAGGACGCTTCGGATATCACAAGGGTAAATACAGGCTTTATTATTATTATTATTATACTATTTAATGTATTTGTATCTTTCGGTTTTTTAATTGATAAATGTTCAGAAATTCGCAACAATTGTTTTTACACCTCTGGGCACACTAAAAGGTGATGTAACGACCCCTTTGTTTGGTGTTGTTAGCCTCGTGTAACTAGTGTTTTATCAAAGAACAGAGTATAAACCTGCAATGTTTAGCAATCTCGCTTCTATATCAGTAGCAAGACTTTTGCTGAACCCGGGCTACCAGTAAATAGGTATTGAGAGTAAGAAGTTTGCTATGGGCTGCTTCCTGGGGATGTGTGTGTGTATTAGAGATATATTTAGTAGACATAAAAGAGGAAAAACAAATTGGTTAGAAAGGCGCGGTCCAAGAGCTAATAGCTCAAGTCTGCAGATACAAATAGTAAATACAAACACACACTTAAACTTAAATAAATCTAATAGAAAACCTAATGTGAATTCAATTATCCAAATCCCCAAAAAGTTCTGTTCTGCAGGTTACTTCTTCCCTTCATGGTGGGCTTATATTCGCTCTGGGCCGTCTACTATTTTTCCGGACTGGTTGCTTATGCCACCTACCACGACTGTGACCCGTTCACCTCTGGCAAGATTAAAAAAATCGACCAAATTATCCCGTTCTTGGTGACTGACAAGTTGAGTCACATGACCGGAATGGCTGGAATATTCGTCGCTGCCGTCTACGGAGGCGTTCTCAGGTAGGTCCCCGTCTACTGTGGCTCCTAAGGTGTAAGTCCTGCCTAAGCCTCACATAGGTTCTATCTTAAGTGGCTGCAAACATTGAGTGTACTCAATTTGTTATGGTTTTATTTAGGAATAAGTTCCATCCACAGAGCTGTCCAATATTGTCCTCAATCACTGCTGGGATGACTCTTGTCCCTCTTGGTCGTTGTGATGACTTCTGTATCCTCCACCAGTATACTGTCGTGTTGAACACCTTCCCCCACCTGTACACTGTCGTGTTAAACATCATCTTCCTCCTCCACCAGTATACTGTCGTGTTGAACACCTTCCTCCACCTGTACACTGTCGTGTTGAACATCATCTTCCTCCTCCACCAGTACACTGTCGTGTTAAACACCTTCCTCCACCAGTACACTGTCGTGTTAAACACCTTCCTCCACCAGTACACTGTCGTGTTGAACACCTTCCTCCACCAGTACACTGTCGTGTTGAACACCTTCCTCCACCAGTACACTGTTGTGTTGAACATCATCTTCCTCCTCCACCAGTACATTGTCGTCCTGCTGCAACTCGGTCGCGTGTGTAATCTGGGAGGACTTCCTGAAGGACCGAGCCTACTACAGCAGCCTCAGTGATGCCAAGGCCACCAACGTCGTCAAGTTCCTCTGTAAGTACTGGCATCTCTCGTCTTAAACCATGTGTATTTTTCTCACCCACATTCTTGGCTGGTTTGTTCAAATGACATTTATTCTCTCCGTTCCCAACTCATAATCGGGGGAGCCCGGGTTCGATTCTCCGGCGGAGAATGACAAGAAATGGTTAGGCACATTTCTTGTCATCTAATGCTGCTGTTCACCTAGTAGTAAAAGGTACCCGGAAGTTAGGCAACTGTTGTGGGGTTGTATAATGGGGAGGTCAGCAGTTCCACCTTGGGAAGACCTCCAACAAGCCTAAAGTATGAATATATATACTATATATATATATATATATATATATATATATATATATATATATATATATATATATATATATATATATATATATATATATATATATATATATATATATATATATATATATATATATATATATATATATATAATATGCATGCAAGCCACAGGTCGCCACTTACATTGATCTTATATTGCAGCTGTGGTAGCGGGTGCTGTAGCTCTGTGCCTGGGACTGTTTGTAGAGAAGTTGGGGAGCATCTACAATGTCTCCAACAGTATCCTTACATCCATCAATGGTCCCATTGCGGGCGTCTTTCTTACAGGAATCTGCGCACCGTGGGTGAACGCGAAGGTAAATCCATCATCTACATAGTTTCTTGCCGTTTTGTGGAAGGTTATTAAGGCCCACCACAATTACTGCCTAATCAGCAAAGTACACTTTAATTTTGAACTGAAATAAATTCTTAGTGTACATACACAGGGAGAAATGGGAGGGTGTACCTCTATCGGTGCATTTATTTCTATTTAAATAATCTCAAAGATATCAATTTATTCATATATTATTTCTTCGGGATTAAACACTTGGTTCGTGTATTCCTAAACAAATCCCAACTCGACACCAATAACTCACTTTTACAGCTTGAAGTTGAACCTGAAAATCAAAATTTTATGTAAACATTGAGAGGGTAATAGGCTAGATAATAAGTGTATAAATATGTTGAGAAAGTATAACATAAGCTAAGATGAGGCAGTATATCTAGGATAAGTTGAGAGAGTATAATTAGGCTAAGTTGAAAAATAATTTAATTTGCTAAGTTGAAATACGGAAGTTAAGCTAAATTATCTATGCCGCAGGGAGCCGGGGTGGGACTCATCGTCTCCCTCAGTTTCAATGTTTGGATAGTTATCGGAAAGTTCGTGAGGGGCGGAGGGTCGCTTTCACCCCTTCCCTTGTCCACCGAGGGCTGCCAGGAGGGTCTTCAGCACCTTGCCAACACCACCGCCACTAGCTTCCTCTCCAACACCACTCTCACTGACGCTGTGATGGCTAACGTCACACTGACTGACGCTGGGATCACCAACACCACAGCTCTCCAAGAGTCAGTACTTCCAGGAATATTAACCACGTCCTGAGTGAAATATATATATAGTATTGTCTGACGTGCGTATTTTTGTCTTCTTGACGATATCAATATTGCAGTTGATTTTAATATTTCAATCTGCAATATAAGCACAAGGAATGACTTTGACATAGCCTAAGCTTCATATTTTTCGATATGTTGCAGATTACAGCTGTTTGAGCTGGCATGCCACATTTAGTTGATCTATAATTTATTAATTTCTTTGATATTTAACAAAATGATTAATTGAAATCTTGATTTCAAGAAAAATGTCTTTATTACACTATTTGTTGATACAGTTAATTAAAGATCAGTAACAGCAAATACCTTTTTTGTTGATAATAGTGAACTAATGGCAAACCTCAAACATGCGTGCAAACTTCCTCTGTTGTAACAAGATTTATGGCAATTCAACTTGAAAGATCAATACTGCAGTGATTGCATAAACAGATCAGCAAGCACAATAGTAATGATCACAACCAATGGCTATGCAGAGTTCCCTCGTAGCAAGATTATTCAAGAGTACAGGAAACCAACGTAGAAAAACCTAATCATTAATTTATTCCCTAATCGTGGTAAAAGGAGTAAAGTGAATGGATACTTTCTCCGAGTAGTTAGGACGAAACGTCATATATATTAATAATAATTACTCTGATCTTAATATTTTCTACGCTCTTCAATACCAAGTAATTGTATTATTTTCAGAATGTACCACATTGAGAATTCACATAAAAGTCATTCCAAAAAGTCTTGAATTGCAGATGAAAGCAAAGCTGCTACTTATTTCTTTAAAAACTAGATATAAAGCATATAAAGTGGTGACAATAAAAAGTGGCGTCAAGCACCAAGGTGTTCATCACATAAAATATAGCAGTAATATGCAAATTCTCGTTTCCATAAGTTACACACTTGCACTACAAAATAGTTAACCCTTAAGCTGCTAAAAAAAGAGTTTATAAGTGTTTTTTTTTCAATAAATATTCATTGCTAAGTATGTTTATAAAAAGATATGCAGTGGCATCGAGTAAAATTTAGTTCTGTTTATGAATTATTGAAACTTTACAATTATCAGGTATAATTATATAGTAAGCAAGATATCCAATCTCAACAGGTCAGCCGGAGAGACCATCTACGAGCTCTCCTACTGCTACTCTGGTGTTATTGGAATCGCTATCGTCCTAGTGGTCAGCAGCCTCGTGTCCCTATGTACTGGTAAGAGTATTTTTACCCATGCTGTCATGCATTTTTGCTCAAGCCTTTCTTGTGCTTGTTTGAGAATATATATATAATATATATATATATATATATATATATATATATATATATATATATATATATATATATATTGTATCTTGAGATAGATTCATCATAATTAATTATTATTATTATTACATTTAATTTCATTATGTACTTTTACAACCAAGGGAAGTTTTGCTTATATAATTCTAACCACATTTCGTTAAATATCTGAATAATCCTTTACCGACCGTAGGTCTAGTGAATCCTGTGGATTTAGAGGATGGCGTTGTGAACCCAACGTGCTTCTGGGTCTACCAGCGCCTCTGGGGGTTTCTCAAGGACCCTCACACAAGCCAGAAGTCCGTCAATGTCAATGTCTTGAAAATGTCTGAGAAACCCATCTCTGAAACTCTCAATTTCCCTTCCTAGATCTTACAAGCCACATCCCCTCCTATTTGTCCGCGACAAATACTTCAACATTCCGGCCCAACCGTTTGGACTGAACGGTTGAATGACAGCTTCCTACAGGTTTTGCGTTCAATCTCCGGTCGTCCAAGTGGTTGGACAGCATTCGTCTTATCCCAGATCCTTCTCCTCATATCCCCGTCCAAGTGCTATATAGTCGTACTGGCTTAGCGCTCTTTCTCTTGATAATTACCTTCAGTATTTCGTCTAAAGTACTATAACATGATTCATCTCAGAGCAAACATATATGCTTTGAAAAATCAGTATGCTCTTGACTTTCAAGTTATTTTTACAGAGCTTGTAACTACCTAAAATGCATTTAGTAATAGGCTTGCTGTATCTTGGGCACGCAACCCAAGATACAGTGAATGCTATGTGTGTGTGTTTTCTGTAAACTGAAACAAATTGTATAATACTTGTATATACAGTTATACCTCAACACTGTTATTAATTTTGTAACTGAAGAAATCTATTTATTTGTTCTTTCATATATTCTCATCATATTAACATTATATGCGTTACATTGTACTAAATAAACATATAAGCTCATATATTGTTTTATTTATTCAATGAACCACAAGATTTATATTTTCAACGAGACATTTTATCTGTCTTTGCTAACAAACAATTGATAAATAATGCATAAACAATTATAAAATAATAAAATCTGAACTACAAAACTATATGGATACAGAGTTCTCAACTACATAGAATAAAATCATATAACAAGGAAGGAAGTAGCCTCTGCAGTGCGCTGAGCATGATCCCGTTCTCTCAACTAATAGATCGCATTTTGTACGTTTATGGTAACCAACGGTACGAATGCAACCTACTATGAAAAGTAACGGCTCACGAATATCTGTTTTCTATGGATCGGATAGATAGGTTAGGTGAGTTGCTTGGGATCATACGTTTTTGGGTCAGATTTCAACAAGGAATTTATGTATCTACTTACAAACCAGTAATCTTCTCTCAATCTTTTGGCGACTTTGTTTACATTTATTAAACAGTTTGTGAGTTCCGAAGCACTAGGAGGCTCTTTGTAACAAAAACACAGCCCGTCCTCCAAACAAAGACCCAAAAGTGATTCCATGCACCCGCCAAACCCCATGTTTATGAATGAAAAACGATTTACACATGACTCACAACTGATGACGTCCGAACACTTCCGGAACAAGTGCTTCACTGACGAATTTTGTTCGAACTACAACGCTATAAATGCTTCACCCTCGTATTAAAATACCCAACCCGTCCTCGACTCAAGTCCATTACATCCAGCGGTCGCCCCCACAGACGCATTCATAAATTTTAACTTGCTGTTCATTCAAAACAAGAATTTTCTCAAATATAAATTAGTATTATAATATATTAGCATATTGTGCATATATAGGCATAGGTTAGGTTAGGTTAGGTGTTTAGGTTCGGTTGGCGATCCGTCCTCCAAACAAAGACCCAAAAGTGATTCCATGCACCCGCCAAACCCCATGTTTATGAATGAAAAGCGGTTTACACACGACTCACAACTGCTGACGTTCGAACATATCCGGAACAAGTGTTTCACTGACGAATTTTGTTCGAATCACAACGCTATAAACGCTTCACCCACGTACTACAAATACAAATAATCGCCAACAGAACCTAAACACCTAACCTATGCCTATATATGCACAATATGCTAATATATTATAATATTAATTTATATTTGAAAAAATTCCTGTTTTGAATGAACAGCAAGTTAAAATTGGTGAATGCGTCTGTGGGGTCGACCGCTGGATGTAATGACCTATAGTCGAGGACGGATTGATGGGTGAATGGTTGTTGAATCCTGACCCAGGTTAGGTCAGAAGGCTAGCTTTTATAGGTAGTGTTCATGAAGAGAACGCGCTGTAGGATGAGGCTGTGTGGAAAGCACTGTAGGATGAGGCTGTGTGAAGATCTCCAGACTGAAACACATGGCGACAAGTCATTCCAGGCAACAATGTTGTTCAGGTTACCAGGTAATGATAAAAGTTACTAGATATAGGCTATGCAAATTTGCAATTGCCAAATCTGAATGCGAAAAATATCTGGGCACCATGATTAGTATAGGGACTTTAAGGCAAGAAATCATTGTATAAATGTTCGAATTACGACAAACAGTAGTCTAGGGGCCATATTTAGAAGCGTTAACATCAACTTTATCCTACTCTTGTTAGCGCCTCTTTCGGTTATGTATTCTATAAGACCTTTTCCTCGCAAGTTGCGAGGATATTAATAAGCACCGTGTGAGGGCTGAATATTAAATCACTGCATTCCCAATGAAATTATTTCGACCGCACAAATAGCTAAAAATAAAAATACCACGTTTTTTTCCTTTAATGTATCACAATGCAGAAGTGTCCAATGCGGTTCTTTGTTTAGTTTTTTAATTAACGTTTAAAATTCTTGAAATCCCACTACAGCTCCGTCCTTATATACCATGTGAAATTTTACAGTGTGTTCCTAAAGTTGCAAATATTCCCGTTCCACGTAACTACCTTTCATCTCATCCGAAATCACATCCTTTCTTAATACTGATATTCTGGAGCACGTTTATAAAGATATTTGTTCTATGAGACACTGAACAACTTCGGCACAAACCTCTCCTTTGATTGAACAAGACAAGGTAAGTTTCCGTAATAAGTTCTCAGTCAGTATGACTTATAATACGTATATAGCGAGCCAGATATTAAGAGAGACTTCATGTCACAATGATAAGGTAAGCCCGTGTGCACGTACATCGCTTGGCATAATAACTGGACCATCATCATCGCGCCACGCCAGACTTTGACCGATGGCAGCAAACTTTTTATATATATACAGGTCGCCAGCAACCACTTTCCTTCCGTTACTGTTGGCCCAGACCCGCTGAGTTCATGGCGTGGGTATGATGCTCCTCCTCCTCCCTCAATCCCTGTAGCGCGGAGGCCAGATACCACATCCGCAGTCGACCAGATGGTCTAGTGACTACTCAGGTTCAATCAAATTTTGTGAACACAATATTCACCCCCCGCCACAACGTCCCGGAGTCCACTGCTACAGTTTCTGGCTCTCTCAGCGGCTTCACCTACTCCATAATACCTGCTACACACACGACGTCAGGTAAGTGTTCGATTGTTATATGACTTTGAAAACGTAATTTCCTTGTGCAAACAGGACGTCTCAACAACGTACTTGAATATAAATGACTTGCAAATATGAAAAGACGTGTAAGGTAACGTATTATCAGGAAAAAACGCCAAGCAAATATATATAGAGTATACATATATATTATATATATATATATATATATATATATATATATATATATATCTCAGAAAATAGAAAATGTCTGTGTGTGGGGATAATCACAGACGGGTCAGGTCGAGCCCCATGCTGCTACCTTTAGCATAAAACGCAAATCATCGTGATTTCCAATTGAACTAAATAACAGACTTGGTCCCCGCTAAGATTATAGGGATGAAGGGAAGATGGTGAAGGACAGGGAAGGTGGTGAAGGGTAGGGAAGGTGGTGAAGGGTAGGGAAAGTAATAAAGGTGCGGGTGGTGAAAATGGTTATAATGATGAAGACGGTATATAGTGAAGATGTGGCGTCCGACAAAAAAAATATACATGTATATTTCTGAGAGTGTGGCTATAGTCACTTGGGTGTGTATACCCACGGTTTAAAGATGTTCAGAGTTTTGCATTAAATTTGTCTATGTTTATATTTGGGGTCAGACAGCAGTATTGCCAGAGCGAGAGAATACGTGCGATGTGCCGTTAAGGATTTGCACAAGACCCCATGCATGTTATTCTAATTAATAAACTGTTTGGCGATCTTATCACAAGAAGTGGTCTACTTGTGTGATAATATCGTAAATGTATTGCTGAGATAACTGATTAGCTGAAAGATTACAGAGTTGTTCTGCGAGATATCAAATTATTTAATCTGGTTTGACTGCCAAGCTTTGAGTGATTAGGCTTCCTACGTGTGTGAGATTTTGCACAGATTAGGTGTTGTTGGGCTGAGTTGGTATCATTTTCTTGTTATAGACTTCGAGAGTGATTTGATCTTGTTATGCAGGAGATGGAAGGGACGGAGGTACCAACGATGGCAGGGCCCGAGGCGCCAGAGGTGAAGTTCACGCCCGTCGACTACACACTCTTCATCCTCATGCTGGTGGCGTCCATGGGCATCGGGGTCGTCAGCGCCCTCAGGAGCCGCGGGAAAGCCTCCACGCAGGAGTACCTGTTGGGGGGCAGGAACATGTCGCCCGTGCCAGTAGCGTTCTCTCTCCTCGGGGGATCGATATCTGCGATATCTATCTTAGGTTAGTAAGCAACACAAAAAGAGCACAGAACCATTATCCCCAAAATGTTAGTTGTGGAGGCCCGCTCTATGGAGATGAAGTCTTTAACAGAAAAGTCAGAATTCTGTAAAAACTTAAACTGATTACTCCACAAGTCTTTTATGTTCTACTTATTAGATTAGGCTGACCTGCAGTACACCACAGATTCCATCATTAGTTTGCGTCAAGCACGACGGACACCGTTGACAATATGCGTCATGCACGACAGACACCAATGATAATTTGTGCGTCAAGCACGACGGACACCGTTGACAATATGCGTCGTGCACGACAGACACCAATAATAATTTGCGTCATATACGACCGACACCGTCAACAACTCGTCTTCGCGAGAGACACCATCATCAGTTTAGACCGTAACTTTATATAACAACAGCCCAGTAGACAGCAGCATGCCGCTCACACACTTGCCCAGACACAATGATGCTGATAAAAGCGTGCTAAAAGCTATGATGGAGAACAGCACGACTCCCGGAGATGATCGTGCAAGTGCACAAGGAGGCTTGTCGTTGCCCTGTCAACAGCGGACAGGGTTATGAAAGGCCACCAGTAGCTTTATTAACCTAATAACAAGTATACTTTATGGCTGAATACAGTCCACGACTATAAAGCATTGTTTGCTGGGTGGGTAGAGAACTATTATGTCTACTCTTCCACGGTTGACAGTGAATATAAGTCCAGGACTAAAGTATACTCTTGGTGTATATATACCGGGAAGTTGAGTATATCTCTTTGTGTATATATCCCTCAAGTGTGTTGAGACTTTCCATTTCAAGAGGATTCTCTTCCACCTATAACTATTATTTTTACAACCCATCCTCCTGAAATCTTAGGATTTATAAGAACTATCTAGCCTAAAGTGCCAATATATATAGTGATGGACCACCAAAAAAATCACTTTTTATACTTGTAATGTTATAGAACCCGGGAAAAAAGCTAAAAATTTACTTAAATATTTCTAGGTCTAGTACAGCTTGTATGTTATATTAAGCCTACGATAGCGTGTATTAGGCCTAGGGTTGCTAAGAGAGGTTAGGTTATGTTCTATATTAATGTTGCCTTAAAAAAGTTTCACATTTGTCTAAATTCACTAATATAAAAAATCAACTTTTTGTTGGTCTGTCACTATGGGTACTTTCCACCAAATATTTACCATAAATACTATTATTTTAGAATTAT